ATCACCATGTGCCTTTCATGTACTTTAATTGCTTGCACACTCAAGTTTCAGAGAAGTGATGCATGTTATATAGAACTCACGTCATGAGCAGGTTCCAGTGGCTTTTTCTCTAGTGCTTAGCAGAGCACCTATGTAGTATAAACAAGGTTTCCTGTAAGGTAATGAATGAATGCTAATGTTGTACAAGTTGAAAGGCCAGACAGATTTGATTCATTCTTACTTAGTGAATCTAAGGCTTGATCTTCAGTCCCCATTAATGTATAAATGTGTGTCGGACAGTATTTTCTTTCGCTTTTTCATGGCCAAAGAATAATTCTGTTAATGAAGGCCAACAGTGCCCTCCCGCCTTCTCCCCTCCCCTCCTGAGCCACACTAAAACTGTTGAGTTCTATCAGAGCCAGTTCTGGAAATGGCAGCACAGTGTGTCCTCACTGGAGGGGGAGCCCAGCTTCCTCAGGAAGTGTGTACTGGCTAGGTAACCTGGTCACCGTGGACACGCTCGAGGAGAATAGACACTGTAGCCTACCAGGTAATAACCTCAATTAATTTGGGAATAATTTATAATTTGGCAGATGATTTTGACCTAATATCAGAGTCTCTGATACCTTTTGCACACTTACTGCGAGGTTGGCATTTCCGTGATGACTACGCGTGGCTTGGTGATTTGGTGGCCAGAGTGTGTACTCCAGTAATCTGGAGAGTTTTCTTTTAGTCCAGTGCTGTGATCTGCAGTCTTGAGGGGCCAGCAAATGGGGGCAAGCGGTGAACAGGCTGGGTGCCAGCGACCGGCCCTGTCCCCATGGAGTGCTGCACATCATCCATCCTATTAGTAGTTGCACCACAGCATCATTGACCAGAAGCCCAGGGCCAAACCAGATTCACCCACAATCAATTTAAAGATTGATTTGTGAGTTACTGAGGAGTTTTAGGCATTTAAGGGGTTTGCACATCCCTCCTGATAGCTCTGATCACGCCCCAGTCCTTTGCACTGCAGAGCCGTGGCGTTCTCTTCTGGACTGGGGCTGAGCAGTACCCACAGTACAGGATGAACCTGTCTGGAGGAACTCTTGATTCCTTGACTGTGTCGGGGCAGAGCAGCTTGAGGCACTCTCTGCTAGCCAGCATTGCGCACAAGAGCTGGAGACCATGGATGGATGGTACGGTTTTTCTGGTGATACTGAAAATCTAGGTTTCAGTTGGAAACACTCCATGTTTAAATTATGGACAGCAATTCAAGTTATCCTAAAATATTAAGTGAGGGGAAATCCGAAGACATATCTGAAGGCAAGTGTGACCCTTCTGCAATCCGACCACTAGACAGAGGTTTTGTACTGTGACACCCACCAAATAAACGTGGGGTATTGAACTGTGTCATACTCATGATACCTTATGGCTGACAGTGCACGCAGAAAGTCCTGCGTGGTCAGACAGTTCCCCAGGGCTATCGCAGCATGTGTTCTCTTTCTCCTGTCACAAGTGTCCAGGTGTTCCAGGAGGCTTTGCTCCATGCTCCTTGGCTCCTTGCTTACCCGCAGCAGTGAAGAGTGTTCAGCTCCTTTGGGTTTGGATCCAGGTTTCTGTTAACCCTTACAGCATGGCATGGACCTCAGCTTGAAAGACTGTGACACACAATGTCCAAGTAGATATCACTTATCTAGTCTTGTGTAGTGACCAACTTGTATTTTGAGTGAAAGGCTTTAAATGGGTTGCATGCAGGGGTGCTTGTGTGCACACATTTGTGGGTGTGTGTGCGTGTGTGTTACTGAAGACGTTGGTATTGCACTACTACCTTGCCCTTTTTCTTTCTTATTTTATCATTATAACAGTATTGTAGGTATAAAATAAGTTCTCTTAGAATTTCAAGGTAGAGGGCAAAGATTTATTAAAACTTATAAAAATAATTTGTTCAGGATTGAGTCATGAATTAGTGGTGAAATTTGAACTGTGCTTTGTCTTCTGTGCTGTTGATTAGTAGATATATAACATCAATTTTGTACAGTTCAACCTGATATGTACTGCATCATTCTCCAATCTTAATTTCTAGGAAAAGAAAAGTTATGAATGAATGGATTATTATGTGTGCTTACATTAATAAATCAGCTAATCATTTATGAACTTAAAAACACTTTGAATTTGAAAACCAAGAGTCAATAACTACTGGAAAATCCACATGTATTTGCCAAACATAGGTGGAACTTTTTTTTTTTTATTTTAGGGAAGGGTCTACAGGGTGTTCAGGGTCTCACTACTAGATCGGACTCAGTGATCCGCCTGTGTACAGCCTCCCAAGAGCTGGGATTACAGGCGCGCACTGCCACGCCCAGTCTCAATTGCCGTCGCAGCACGCTCCGGAGGCGGGGCTGGCACAGCAGGCCTGGGGATTGAACCCCCAGCTCCTGCACCTGCTTGCAGGCACTTTAAGGAACTTTTATTCTCTAGGCACGTACTTCTGCTATAAAGTGTGGCTATTAAAGATATAATTGGGTTTTAAATGATAATAATTTTAAGAATACGGAACTGAATGTTTATGATTACAGAATTATAAACTTATGATATAGCATCTCATCTTTGGTTACACTTCGCAGTAGGTTCTTATTCATAGACATTAATCTCAGTTTAACATACAACTTGAAAATGTACCTGGTGTAACAGTGGTGGTAAGGAATTAAAACTAAATTTATTAGTGCTATAATTCTGGCTTTTTCATTTACTGTTGGGAGATTGATTTTTAAGTAGTTAACCATCTTACTTTCCTAACTTTCACTAAATAGCGGTTAGTCAAGGAGAAGGGTACCGATCCCTTGACCTCCTTGCACCTGGAGGCAGATCTGGGCCTTGGACTAGGAGCCTCTCTTGTTCCACTGAGCCCTGGGCACACGTGGAATGCCTGCCCTCAGAGTCCTTGCTGGCTGCGAGCTGGGAGCCTTAAGGGAGGTCTTGCAGCCTGTGATGGATTGCCTCCTGGACCCTTGGGGCTGAGTGGAGGCCCACAGAACACAGGCATCACATCCTGCTTAGATGGTGCAATGGCATCTGCTGCCCCTTTCATTTTTTTCATTTTTTTCCAATTGGTATATTTATTAGTATATATAAGTTTTTAAAAACTGTTAAGTTTCATTGTGGCATTTTTCACATATGCATATGATGTAATTGGATTGCAACATCCCCTAATCTGCCGTGTTTCAAAATTTTTGTTCAGAGTTCCTTTGCCAACATAGACATTGCATCCCCTCAAAAAAAAATGAAAGTATATATTCAAAAACTTCATTGAAAAATTATTTAAGGAAATGCTAAATCCTCTTTTTAAATAATTGTAATCATAAGGGTAAAGTTTAATAAAGGCAAATTCTTTCTCATCTGTCTATCTCTTGAAGACCAAATTTTGCTTTTTTTGCCTTGCATGGTTATATAGTTAAGTAACTAGGTGCCAAGGCTAGAGTGTGGGGTTGGGTCATAGGGAACAGACACTGTTTATAGGATTTATTATTATATTCAAATTCTGCCTCATTAAACTTAGATTTCCAAGCATTGGCTTAGATTATTGCAGGAGTCAATGTCACTTCCTATCTTCTTGGCCTAAAAGACCTAAAGTGTTCAGTGGATCAGTGGTATTTTAATGTTGCTGTTTTTATCACACGGAGAAAAAAAAATATTTTTTTAAACTTTATTATTCATGAACCACTTTCATGCTTTTTATAAGGGAACATACCTATTTACTAAGTACTTCATTTAAAACAATTTTAAAATACTTACTTTCAAATATGTTTCCTGTTTTCAGCAGGAAACTCCTGTCACTGCCATCACTGTTACTCATTCAGTTGTTTCATTTATTTATTTTTTTTTTTTGGGGGGCAGAACCGGGGATTGAACTCAGGCCCTTGTACTTGCCAGGGAAGCTTTTATTCTACTGAGCCATCTCCCTGTTTCATTTATTCTATAAATTTGTATTTTCAAATATTTAGTTAAAAATAAGGTAGTTTTGGTTGAGCTGTGGGGGACTCAGGTCAATAATTTCTGACATTGCCAGTTAAATATAAGACCCAATGCTATTATGGGCTACTGGAC